CGCGAAATATAATATCTTTTCAAATTATAACTTCTTAATAAACTGAATGATTTAAAGGCAATTAACGTGAGCATATTTTTAGGATTTTGTTGTGGAAAATATTCAAGTTAACTGTAGCTTCACCGGGGATTTACGTAATAGATCAAAGTCAGGTTGTCACAACTTTTGACACCACTATAGAGACTGGCTATTAGAATTTTTTTTTGGCTGAAGCTCTTGCCAAGATTCGAAATATGGGGCTTTCAGTTGCTAGTTGAAAATGATAACCACACAAACTACAAAAGCATGTACGGAGGAATGCGATTATCCATTATAAGGGCAATTCTTAATAATTTAAATCCTAATTTTATTTCTTAATAACCTAACTGGTTGATATAACTCTTAAAAGATTTAATTTATATTATAATCACTGATATTTTTTATTAACATTTCTAGCACTGTTGGAACTAATGCAGTAAGGAGTTTTTGAAACCGTGTATTACCTATTTCAGAATAGAATCATCCAATTATTTTTAACTAGTGGTATTATAATTAAAGATTTCTATAAATGCAATGATCAATGAACCATTTCTAAGAAACACACCTTCAGTATTAGGCAGCTTCTGTTTTCTTTGGAAATGGTCGTCTTAGAGAAGAAGGTTAACAATAATTTGCTTAAGGAATTTATGCTAATTAGAGTCTGTCGAAAAATATGAAGCGGAATTGGGGAATACTGAAGTACTGGTTTATTAGATATCATTGCATTAATAAAATTAAAAATGAATCACAAAATGTAATGCAGGGAAAGCACACAAAAAAGGCTTATTTTTACTATCTTAATTTACTTAAATATAATAAAGTAAAAAAATAATTATCTCCAATAGTTTAACTATTGGAGATAATTATTTTAGAGATACATTTCTTAATTTTTATATGATTTGGAAATGTTTTAGCTCGTGCAAGAGTTACATTAATTAACTCAAAAAATAATCGTGTATAAATTCTATTATGAATTGAATTAAACTTGGTGATGTTGCGCAAGTGACGCCATTATTCGCTAATCTTCTAGATCCTACTAGAAAGTAGTCTTTGTTTAACTACGCGAGGAAATATTAGCTGTTGTGTCTGTCCTTGTCCAATAAAATATTTCATGTTTTTCGAATGAATTTGTCGTCATTAACTCTACAAAAAACACTGTTCGGATAGATGCGAACTCTGAATTAAATTTTGGCTTTCCATTCTGCACAACTTACAAGTTTTGAATAAAACGTAATGGCAACACATCGACAGGGCGGAAAAGGCTTATCGTAGGTATAAACACTTATAGTCTCTCAATATAATCATTTACCTTGTCTACTACCTCTGCAAAATTATTGGAAGCGGTGTTGCACCATCAATCAGCATGTCCAATTTTTTTTGGTGTCTCTCCAGCGACTACCTTTTATTATGGATAACTTCTCGCTACTACTGAATGGATATCTTGTCGGATTCTGTTATTTTTTCAAAGAGATCGTAGTCTCATGATCGTAGTCTAGTATCTGGTTAGAATGGTTGTTGTTTCAGTACATTATCGCTACTTTCGCAAGAGATCTTGATGATGCTTGATTATGGAGAAGGATGAGATTTATCATTTAAGTATCATCTGCTTTCAACACTCAGGAGAAAGCGATGACATTTTTTGGTGACGAGTTCCATCATTCTCCATGAGAATGCACCATTATAATGTGTACGCTGTCCCGTATCTTTTGCAACGGTGGCGATTAGGTGCTGGCCTTACTCATTCGATATGAGTCCGTCCGACTCTATTCTACGCTCCACCACTGAGATGATATACGATTTAAGGTCCTTACATAGACCAAACGATCTAAATCATCCCTATGGTATATATAACTTTATTGAATCTTTCATCTTTAGTGAAAAATTTACAAATTTACGTAATTATTTTGTCATATTTTCGGTGATGTTATAAGGTATTTCTCCCACCTTCCTAGGGTGCCTTCGTGGTGTAGTGGTTCTGCACGCTGGGCCGGTATTCCAGAGGTCCATGGCTCGGTTCCCGGCGAAGGCGTTTGATAATTTTTCATCTTGCCTGCTTCCAAAAATACCTAATGTCTCTACAATGTGTCGCACTTCTAATGCTTCAAACGAGAAGGATAACTGGTTGAGTTGAATTTAGACATTGATATTTAACAAAAGGAAGTATATGTATAGACATACACATAGATGGTACATATAAGGTACGATCGTAAGTATATATATATAGGCATATATATAATGGCATATATATAAATGTTATATAGACCATAGATATTCATTATACAGCCCATAGATTCAGTGCTTTGTTTATATGCAAGAGAATATATTAAGTATATGTAATCTTAGAATATATAATCATTAGATATATAGAATAGTCAATATTTCATTTATGATGAATAGTTTATAGTAGCATAAGTCAATAGTTCATCAGTAGTCACTAATATAGTAATAGTCAATAGACCGTCAATATTTCACATAGTCAGTAGTCAATAGTTCATTCATAGCTAATAGACAATATTCCATTGGTCATCCATAGTTCATAGAATAGTTAATAATCCATCACCAATATGTAGAATAATCAATCAATTATACATTGAAAACGTAATTTGGTACTGCGTAGTATTCTCTGAAAATATGTATTTGATGGTCAGTTACAATGTCTGATGTTATTAGACAATGGCAACCTATAATTACCATTGTCTTATAACGTCTATTGTTGTTCTATGAAATGGAGTCCCTAAGAGGTCTCCAGGCTTTGAAATCTTTACTTAGAAAGTTAAACTTGTTCTAAAATGCGTTTTAGGTTCGAGTTCTGAAATGCCGGCATCTAGTTTAACGTATGTTTCATAGTCGTAATTTTAACTTTGAACTATAAAAGTCCGCTTGACTGAAGCCAGTTCTTTACCGAACTGAAAGTACAGCTAGAGGAATCCATTGCAACAGTAGAAAGAAAGTTATCCGTGCTATAAAGTGGTCGGTACGAGATATCAGCGCAGAAGTAATTGTGCTGATGGTATGTAATGTCTCCTCGTAACGTAGCAGAAATAACCAGACATGGATAGCAGTTGTAGTAAAAGGTTCTAAGCATTTATATTTAAGGCAATGTAGTCTTTTCAGAACAGTATTCTATTCCTTTTTCTCCAATCCTTGAGCATAAAGTTTTGATTACTTAAGAATAACATTACAATGCCATTTTCCCCCTCATAATACAAGAAATAAAAACATTGAGGATTTTATATAGACAAATAATCTGGTCACATTAATAACGTTTGAGCATTTAATATTATCCCGTGGCCAACAACGGAAGTTCAAAATATCTAGCAACATATTTAAATTTGAAACTTTTACCAACAGATGACAGTAATTATCTAGAATTATCAATGTGAATAGTAAATTCTATATTTCACAACCAATTTCAATCTCGAATTAGCATGTACACTTTTTGCTTGTGTTATATTTTCAAGCTCTGAGAAGAATTTTTTAAAATCTTATTTTTGATTTATCAAGTTAAGTGATAAATTGCTTGAAATCACTTTTGAATTTAAGTTAACCAATAATAATAATGATAATAATTTTTATATTTATTAATGAAAGGTACAATACTGTTTCGAACATTGTGAAAGATTCGAAAAATTAAATCCTACACTTTGTAAACTGAAATTAGCAGCGAAGAGCCGTTATGACCTCACAGACCAGGAGTAAAGAGAAATTTATAGGATTAATGCTTAGTGGAAAAGAAAATATTCTTTACAGAAATATGTGCGGAACTGATCAGAACAAAAATCTTGTCTTTTAGACGTATAAAACTGTGCTTCAATAACAATGGCAGGAATGGAGAGCATGTACTTCTATTGCAAAAAAACCTACAGCCATTTTCCATTATGTAATGGAAACTCTGGGCTTAGAATTTTATAAAAATGTTTAATTACGATGGCTTTTAGCTTAAAGGCTCGAAAATAATACAAACGAGAATCATGAACACTAAAAAAATCCAATGCACAAAGGAAAAGGCTGAAACAAACTGGTTTGGATCAGCTGCTACCAATTCGCATGGGTAAACTTCCATAATTACTGTAATCTGCTAGTAAAAGTCATAAGTTTAAATGTTTTCCTAGCTATTACGGACTTATACTACTCAGCACATTTAAATGTTAGTAAATTCTAAATGTTAGTAACCTGAAGGGTCCAGAAATGTAGCCAGCTTAAAATAGCAGGTTAGGAGACATACTTACACTGTCTGTTACTAAAAGTTCCGAGACTGGATTAATGAAAACTATATAAAATTCAAGGTGAAGGTTTTAATGCTTCAGGTGTTTTACATAGTCTATCCCTCACATGAGCACAACGCACAGAATATTCATACAACCATATGACACTGGCAGAAAAATTCCTGTTTGAGATGTCATTCAACCTGCGCATCAGAATGGCTTGAATGTCCGTTACGTCATCATAGCATTGAGCCTTCAAGCTAAGTTTGATTTTCGGGAATTAAAAAAAAAGTCACTCGACACCTAAGGTGAATATGGAGGTTAGTTAAAAACAGTACACGCTTTTTTCCTAGAAACTGCACTTCAGTTTCTGTCGTGTGAGCGGGTGCGTTGTCATGCAGCAAAAGAAGAAATCCCTCTTCTTCCATCATTCCGGACGAACCCGGACTAACACAGCCGAACCACGGAAATCGCGTCCTCAATTTTATCCCAGTTATTATTTCCAATTATGATTATATGCGAGGAAGAAAATCTCTGTCGCAAATTTTCGGAATCTATCCCCTACTTTATTTTTGCAATGATATTTACAGCATTTAAAGCAATGGTTAACAGTTAACAATCCCTTCTTAAATCACATAAAACATAAAATAAAGTATAATTTAGCTGTTTTATACCTTATGTTACATAAATTTCTTATGTCTCGCAGAGAATAAAGAGGAGCTCCAGACTCTATCCTGCTTCACGTATTTGGAAATTATAAGCAGCCCATTATTGCCCATGGCCATTAAAGGCGGTGCTTCTTATATTTTACGCGGTGATAACCAGCTAGTTTACTTGGAAGCAGGAAAGCATTCAGAAGATCCAGATGATCCGGAAAATAAGGTAAGAAATAAAAGCTTATTCCTTTCTTGTGTTCCAGGGTATGAAGTGATGCGAGAAAGAAGTATTGGCTGACATTGTATGAAACCAAAAGGAAGCCTTAGAGAATCGAAGATATAGTAGCTAGAAAATGTAGATATCATACTCCGAACTTCCTCCTACATCTTCAGCTCTAGGTTATGGAAATTTTAAAATCATTAGCATAAGTTCCATCTTTCTCTATTGTGCATAGTTATTCCCTCTGAGGGCTCTAGTTTAATGATAAATTGTATTCTCTTGATTATTTTTATTCTATTCAGTGTATTTAATTTGCATTTCATTTTTTTTGTATTAGCATTTCATCCATTTTATATTTCCTTACATTTATTATTTGAAACATATTTTGATCAAATTCTGAAGCTACCCGAACGTCGAAGGTGTTCTTACACTCAAGACACTTTCCAAACATGTGATTTCACTTTACTTCTGCCATTGATGTTCCAGTTCATACAGCCATATGAAGTGCTGATGTGTTCTATCTTTCTAAATCCGGGTCTTTTGTTCTCTCCCTTTTTTCCTCTTTCCTCCGATGTCCCTCTTAGAAACTGCCGTCAAGACTCATTCATGTGAGGTGGCTCTGGAATTTTACAAGATGAGAATAGGTATACGGTTGAATTACCGTCAGATATCGACTCATTATCCGTCAGACATTCTAAATTATCATTACTATATACTGTTATTGAAATGTGAGTTTCTTTAAAAAAATAATTTTATGATATTTATTAGTAGTTTATGCATGACTGCTTTTCATTTATTATGTTCCTACTGTAACTCCTATTTTCGGAAATTGAGTTACTCGCATAATTTTCCCCTCTTGATTTTCATACTATAAAATTTGTTTAAAAAAAGAAGAAAATACACGAAGAAATAGAAAAGGGCGAAAATACGCGGGTTTCGGCTTATTCCCAATAAATGTAATACAGATTTTTTTAGGCTTCTAGCAACCTGAAAAATTACATACACAGAACAAAGTTGCTGAGAGTTGTAAGACATAAAGACCCAGAACATTAAGTATGACATAAACGCCTAAAAAGTGTATAAATATTAGCATATTTTAACGTTTATTACCATAAATATCAGCAAAAATCTCTTAGAGGAATAAATAGATGGACTCTTAAAGATTTCTCATCTCGCTATTCGTAGCAAAAACTAATATTGTATCTTTACTTTTATTTATGCAGTTAACTCCCAATTGCTGAATAATACCAGGCCCCCTTTTGAATCCATAATTTAGTGCAAGGGAGTGCTCATAATATTAGGAATGGCGTTCATGGTTAACTGAAATTCAAGTTATTAAGTTAATCTTACAGTTACAAGTTACAAGTTACAAGTTACAGCAGTGAAAAAAACATGGGAAGAAGCTTAAACTTTATTATAATTAACAAACAAATTTTATTATCAATTTTCCTGTATTTTTAAGCAGTTTAATCTGGGAAATAAGTTTATTTGATGGCATAAATTAAATAAGCATTCATAACAAAAAACGTTTCTGTTTATATTATTCTTGTATTTCGATATAAATCAGTGTGAAAAATAAGATTAATGGCTGTGCGCTTGATTTATTTTTACGAATGAACATTTGAGATGAATGAAGTTTTAAAGGAATAAATTACCTATTTTAGTTATTGTTTTCTTTAGTTATTATATATTGTTACTTCAGCTATTTTTTCTAGCGTTAGCAGTCACATCAGCATCTTGATTAATACGATTCAGAAAGATGAGCAGAAAAAAGTAGCGAAGGAAAGAGAAGGGTGGGAAAAAAATGTGCGACGTAGACGTGTAGCTGCACCTAGTGGTATTCCAAAAATAATAATTAAGTACTTTCTTATTTGATAAAGGGAAACACATAAAAAAAGAACTTCAATAACACATTTCATTTTTATTTTAAATATGTTGGTTCTTCTGCTCTTTCGTTGCCATTCTGAACTACTAAAATATGATTGTAACCTCGACATCATTTGAAATTACAAAATATGTTACAAACATAAAAAAAGATTATATTTAAAAATATGCATATATACCTGAGAAAATGAAAATATATGATCACTTAAATTTAAACTACTTTAGACACTCTCAAAAAGCTGATCAATGTTTAGATATGCAAGTAAGGTTTTCGAAAATGAGAGTAATCAAAAACAGTTTGGGACAGATCACTGAAAAGACAAAAACGTTTAATTCTCTGTCTGGCTCAACCAGTTAACATCAGCACTGAGCAATTAAAAAAGGTTAATTCTTTCCGTGCATCGACGAGAGTTAACGTCAATATCAATGCATTAAAAACATTATTCGAGATAGATGACTGAGGTTTGAAAACAAGGGTTGAACATTGTACAGGACAAAGGAGTGTTGGCTGATCATTTTAATTTAAAGTAATATTCGTTCGAGAATCTGGGGCTTGCTGGTAAAAGATAAATTCTTAAATATATTTGTAATAAGTAATTATTTGTGTATCATAATTTAGCAGGCCTTACTCTTTTATCATTCGTAATGGAAAATTGTAAAGAGAATTGTTTAATTGCCTATTTCTATAAAACTGTACGATAAGTTTTTCCTTTTTTGAGTTCTTTAATTAATTATCCATTTTAAGTAAAAGAGTGTTGTATAAAAACCTTTTTAACTGTATTTTATTCATAGACTCTTAGTGCCATATTCCAAATCCTAAGTAATGTTATATGTTCCATACGGGCAGAAGCAGAACGAAAATACAGTATGAGTCAGAAATCTGATTACAATTTTGAAATAAATGTATTGTGTTACTGCATGCTATACAGAAAAAATGGTGAATGGTATATGTATTAAACTTGAACCTTTTTTTAAAATTTCAAACAAGAGTCACGTGCTCGAGCTTACGGCATTCCTCAAATTAGCTCTGAATATGCAGTAAAAGTCAGAGTTTAAGAGCGAGCGATTGTATAAAATAATGATCCCGAAGCTTTGATTCTGGAAAGGCTTGAAACGAAGTATTTTTGCCTTCGATTGTGGGAAAGCACTGAAAATGACTTTGTACAACAGGAAACGTTCTAAGAAAAGAAAACCTTCTGAAAGGTCTTTCAATAGCACAAGCAGCAGCATTCGCAAAGATTGTGGACATGTTCCTTAATGCCCCACGAAAATTAACCCGCAAAGAAATCTGGTTGGTTTTCAGAACCACCCTACTTTCCAGAGTCAGTCCACTTTCCTGTGACACCATCTTATTTTCCACAGTCATGGTACTATTATCATACATTACGATTAAACGTGCATATTTATGACTCATTCTGAGCTATCTACTATAGTTAATTCCTTCACTGAAAATGTTAAATAGTTGCAAGATAAATCGGGATAAGTTTAACATTTCAAAAAATTTGATGATTTATAAATTATTGCAGTAAAACTTAGTATATTTATTTAACTGAGTATAAAATCAAACACAACTATAATGTTCCTCGACTCTTTGTCTAGATATAACACCGAGGAGCCTAGTGAACTAAGTAGCGAATTATCGGAGTTCCAATATTTGTACAAAGACGGGAGAAGGGTTAAAATACCCTTTTATTCACTCAAAGAAATAATAAAAGATGGTCCCTTCTCGGGCTGACAGTCTTCATTCGGACTTTTAAATCAGAATAAGAAAATTAGAAACTAATCTAATACTAAACTAAATAGACTTAGCCGAAGCTAAGCACAAATACCTAACGTAGTCAGCCCTTAAAATAACCTAGCCGGCGATTCTCAATAGGCACGTATAACACGACACTGTCGAGTATAGTAGATTCAAGAACGAAGTAGCCACAAGGCAAACACTCGCCAATTAAGGACTCTAAGCACTCGCTTTCGAAGTAAGTTGAACTTCCTTTAAATACTTCTTCTAACTCATTTGCATTCAATTCGATTCTAAAAACTCATTCTGGTAAGGAGTTGTAAGTGGAAAACAAGAATTGAAAGGAAAGGTTTCAAAATTAAAAATAACTGTTACAAAATTAACACACACCTTAAACAATGATTCATAAATACATTAGCATACGATTAAATTATTCAGCATTATTCTTCGCGGAATTCCTAGGAATCTGTCATGAAATTTAGGGATCGCAGGGTTCACTTGCAAAAGAATGCTGTTAAGAGTTGAAGCCAATTTAACGTTCATTAAAATTCACAAGAAATTACAGAATTTAGCAACTTAAAGTAAAACCTTTCCACAAATTGAAAACGAACTTTTATAAAACTGAATGCAATATTTTACTTCTTTATTAGAAATGTGAAATATTTTCTGAGAATTTAAGACTCTTTCCTGTATTTCTTCTTTGAAATATACTTCTCTTACCTACCTGTCTTATCATGTGTGAATGTTTAGCAACACTAGTCAATATTCTTCAAAATCATGTTCTGAAAGCAGTTTTTGAATTTTAACAGGAATTTAAAGTAGAGTGGACATGTCGCTATTTAGAAGCACGCTATTTCTTGCCAGAGGGTGAAGAGTATGATCCAAAAAGTAGCTTTTCTTCAAGATCTATTACGCCCTATCAAGTTGCTGAAAAGGAGTTTAAAGATGAATGCTTTTCTACTAAAAATGGTAAATATTATCCAATACATAAATTTCAGCTCTTATTATAGGAATAGTGATTATAGGTACTTAAGCAAACTGAAATATGTTTTTACATATTTTTGCAAAATTATGTACACGCACACACACATATATATATGTATGACATTCGATCTACCTTTGTACCATACTCTATCGAAAGCTTTCTCGAAGTCGAGAAAACATTTTGCAATGGCCAATTTCTTAACGAATGCATCGCAATAAATTCAATAATGTTAAGAATTTGGTTCGTAGTGCTAATAACCTACCAAACTAAAAGAGACTGAGGAGATTACATTTTTCTAGATCTTCAATGAGCCTGGCGTTGAGAATTCTTTTAAAAATCTTCCCTATACACGGAAACAGATTCATCGGTCGACTGGAACACTGGTAGAAACAGACACTGAAAGTTAATTTGGGATTTTTTTTTTCTCGAGGTTACGTGTCGGGATTATAACAGAGTGTTTCGCTGAGGATGTTCTTTAAAAAGAGTTTCCGATTTCTTCTTCATGCTCATAGATGATAGTAGGATTGGGCGTGAACGTGCTGGAAAGTTCTGACGGCATAATATTTGCAATAATTTGCAACAATTTTTCTATTATAATCGGTCTCATGTGATGAATGCCGCCATATTTGTCTTTTTTTCAATGAACTGCCAATTTTCCAAATGTTCTTAGGTGCGAACTCAACACTTTAGTGAAGAGTTTCCCAACCACTTGATCTGCAAAATTCAATGTTATCAGAAATTTCTCTGGCAAAAGAATTAATTCTGCGCTTTGTAACAGGATCTCTGAAATTTGCCATTGTTTTCTTGGTCAGTTTCCCATTCTGATTTCATTTGTAATAAATTGTCGAAGAGTATTGGGATGGTTGAAAGGAACTGAAGTTGTAGTGTTGTTGAGAGCAATGTTAATTTTTATTGCTGACATGGTAAATGGAGTTTTAAATGTCTTCGCAGTTATCAAGATATCTCTATTGATATTTGTCATGATATTTTAATTTTTTTTTTCAATTTGTCCTATTTTTGTATTTTTCTAGAGACGGATAAAATTCTTGGAAATCAAAATTTACGAGATACTGATCAGAAGAGAGATCTTCGATACCTTCCATAAAAGGAGTTTAATAGATGTGTTTCATGATGTTAATTTCAAGAACATCACCTGTACATACATGTGGCGACGACCGATGATGAATTAGTGAATACCTAGCGGGGTGACGTCATCACAACTTAGCACAGTGCAGAGCAATCGACACAGACGAGTGTTGGAAGTGCTGGAGACGGGACGTGTCAAAGTACCAAGCGGATATTTTGAGATGGAACGGGAGTAGGCAGACGGCCTGCGGGATCCATCAAGATGCTTGTCTATTGCATATAGCTAGTCGTAAAAAAGTTGCCAGACGTGCCTTTGAATGTATTTTTTAGGACTATGTGTTAGCCATCGTTATATGATCCCTATCGGATTGTCGGACTTGTTTTCACCATGAGATTACCAGTTGAACAATTAACTTTTACTTTTTTTATCTTTTATTTCCTTTATTTAATATTAGTAAAAATAAAGCACCCCTTTCAGGGGCGGTGGTTTCGCCTTGAAACCGCATTTTCAACATTTTTTTTTTTTTTAATTTAGAAAATTTGATTTTTTTTTCCTCGAAACCGCTGTTAAAATTAAATTACTTCTTAAAGCTGATAACAGATGGCAGCAGCAAACCTTTCTGGGCATCCATTAATTAATACGAATCATTTAAAAATATCTTCTTCTGCACACTACTATTTTTGACCCATTTTAAAAACAAAAAACCCGAAAATTTTTAATTTTTCCACAATATATTTTATAAGCAGGCATCAATGAGTAATGAAATGTCCTTAGTTCACAAAAAAAAGTAATTGAACCCTTTTAATTTTGAATGTTTTCATAGCGGTTTCTGTATGAAACCACCGCCCCTCTGGGACATCGAAGAAAGTATCAGATGACGCAGTCGCGAGATATTTTGCAGTTGTGTTTATTGCTTTCGGATCACTGCTGTAAACAGTTGCACAATATCTTAATTTGAGTGGCTTCAAAGATGAGGATTTATGGAGCTTTTGAGAGAGGGAAAACATTTCTTATTTTTTACAGAGACACAGAGCACACTGAAAAACACTCACAGTTGCGTTTTTATTATGCTTCTCTTAGTGGTCACTTTTCTCATGCTTCTAGTTCATAGTAAAATAATTGTATGCATCTTAATTTATTTTATTTTTACATATAATTTTCTTAGTTTTAAACAAATTTTTAAAAATATTTCATAGTTTTATGCAAGTAATTTAGTGCATTATTAGTTACTTTTTGTCTCATACTTTTTTGTTTCCTGTTTTAAATTTTTTTATTTATAATTAAAAATACGTGTTTATGCAAATATTACTTACTTCATTAGTTGTTCAGTAATTTACTAGTATAATCTGCAATTTGGGTTACGTTCAGATACTTTTCAGCAAAGATAAATAAGCAAATGTCTAGTCTTAAAAGTCGCTAGACGGGCGCTGGTTTCAAGGCGAAACCGGTCCCCTTTCCATAAAGGGGGACGAAAAAATTTTTTTTAAACTCATTTATGTTGTCTATAGGACCATTGCATGTCATTATGCTTACTTTTTCATAACTTTTAAAAAATCATAACATTGCGCCCCTGAAAGGGTTAAAGAATGCAACAGTCGTGCTCTACCATGTTTCTTGAAAGTAAATACTACATACATTATGATATCTTGTGGGATACCTGGTTCCTAAAATTCTCAGATGGTAAATGTCAGCCAAAGTTTTCGTATGCCTTCCATTGGAGTTTATATGGCGGGAATTCCATTCAGAATGTTTGATATTATGTATCCTACGATGGTGGGAGGGAGATCCGAGATGGTAAAGTATAGTAAATTTTGCTGATTGATGATGCTTCCAGAAGGATCGTAGGCTGCTTTAGATGGGATTTCTTCCTTGGTGCTACTGCAGATGTTCGTTGTAGAGTTCTCGATCCGAGTACAAAGCGGCGGGAACTCATACAATGGTTACTTTGTATGATTTTTAATTATAAGTGCAGTTACCACCACCATTATTATGTTGCCTACTATTTCTTACGATGGTATAAAAAGGCTTGAATTTGTCACATGGCCGAAACTTCGTTTCGTTAACAAGCATTACTTTAATTTTGTGTTTTCTGAGATAATTGACTGCTTCATACTGTTGTCTTCGTAGCTCACTGGGGTTAAAGAAACAAACTTTTAAGAAGCAATTAATTGCTCCGTTTGATTAATCAGCAGTTATAGGGTGTTAACGTTCATAGCCAAGATTCCAGAAAAATTCAAAGGAGCTTATGAATATCTCGATTTTCTTCATAAGTCATTTAGACTCTTTGAAGCGTTAAAAGAATTTTTTTACCTTAGCCATAGTAACTTTATTATGTAATCTGGAAAGAAAAAAACAGTAGCGTTATAATGTCCAATTTCATTAGATAAAGAAATTTTTCAGAACAGTTACGAAAATTCTTTATGATCAGTGAAAAATAGTTTTTTCGTGATACGCCATTTATATATAAAAATATACAAATTCCATTCGCAAAGTCATATTTTTTTTACATTTATGCTCCATTCATGCATTTTCCGTTTTCATTCAAGTTTTGTTTTATTTACTTTTTCAGTTTTATTCCTGTCAGTTCCTAAAGTTTTCAAATAAAAATTGTTTATTCTATTAAAAACTTATAAAATAGATTTCTCCAATAAAAGTAAATTGTTTTATAAAATATCATCCAAAGAATCGTTTAAATATTATATAACATTCAAGTTTTTTACTGTCTTACAGGTGCTAAAGCATTCAAAGAGACTAACTTGGTTTTGAACACAAGAGAGCTGCGTTCTTTTGATGCGCTTTATGAGTTTACGCTGACAATTTCAAAAGACTCCAGAAAAAATCAGTCTTGGATATATTTGGATGTGATCAAAGACAAACCACCAGGTATCATTATAATGTAAGTAAAAGTCTTTTATTTTCGCACACACACGTATATCATTTAACATTACTCGGCTTAGAAGGAATCTTATGGAATCTTAAATAACCAAAAATGTTGGAAGACTATTAAATGAAGTAATATATGGCTCAAGATAGCAAATAACACAGATAGACACGTAAGAAAAACTTTTTTCTTGACCGATTTATTTTTCTTTCACACGCGAAATTAGACCTTTAACAAGTCGCATTACTTTGTATCATACAGAGATAAAAGAACTGGCTTTTCGATTCTTATATAGCCAAGCAAATAGATTTCTCATCTTTATCAACTGTGTCTTGAAGATAGAAAGGTTTGTCACTTGTTTAGAAGGATTATAAGTATTCTAAATTTTGCACTATGCGTGTAAAAGCTTATTTCCCCCTTTTTTTTAAACTAATTTTATCGCTCGAAAAACGAGAGAAGAAAATTATACGAATAATTTAATTTCCGAAGAATGCTGTGGTAAGAACATAACAAATGAAAAGTTGGTAATTATCATGGATAAACTTGGTAATTATCACAAGTATTATTTCATTAAAACAAACCTACATTTCAGTAAGAATGCCTAGTAATATTAACCGATAGTCAGCCGATATCTGACGGTAGTAAGATGTGCCAGCTCAGTTGTCTTGTAAAGTCCCAGGGGTTATGAATGAGACTTGACCGCACTTCCCAAGAGGAATATCGGGTGAACTAAGCAGAATATTTGGTTTGGTTTATTTGATCATGGCAAAGATCACGAGGGTATCTACTTAAATGGAGGGATGCCTTCATGGTGGACTTTCTAAGGGAATTTGTTCTATACACGTTACATATTGGGAAAATCATGAAAATGCATATGCAGCCAGACGCGAACCTATTTCGAACTACCAGTGCTCAGCGACTTAGCCTCTCGGCTCCTAAGAAGAACGGAAGCGAACAGAAGACACATGTTTCGAAAGACCAAACACATAAAGCTACAAAGCTACATTGAGCTGGAACATAAATAACAGAAGTAAGATGAAATCACATGTTTGGAAAATTTTTTAAACGTGAGAGCATTTGCCACGACCGCGTACCGAGTAACTTAACGAAGAATCTGAACAAAGTGCGTATCAGATAATAAATGAAAGGCAAAATAAAATGGATGAAATGCTAATACAAAAATGCAAATGGAAGTGAATACACCGAATAAAAGTAAGCATAATCAAGAGAATGCAATTCACCAATAAACTAACCCTCAGAAAAACTATGTACATTACGAGAAGGGGAAAATTATACGAATATTTTAAAAATTTTCAGCACCTCCTGTCAAAAAGCTAAAGGGAAAAAAATACGCGAGGAAAATATGGTATTTAAATACCTAAATAATAACTGAATGCCGTAATTTCTTGTTTTTAGCATATGATTTGCATAGTCAATTATTCGTAATCGCCAATAATTATCAAACTTAAGTTATAGTTTAAATTCTGCATTATTTCCCAAGTATTCCAATTAATAACAAAATTTATATCTACCATAAAACAGTTTGTAGCCCCATGTAGCTATTTTACCACATGGAAATCACCCTTTAAAATCTCAGTTTCAAACCGTATTTTTAGCCCAGAATTTATTTTATTTATTAGTTACAGATGTAGTTATAAATCAATACAGATAGTCGCAAATAATTACTGTGCAGAACTATACGCAGATAATATTAAAAAAACCAATTAGCAATATTATCTACGCACATATAATAACACTCTCTACACATATGTCGCTTTAAGCTCAAATTTATGCCTTCTTTGAAGTCTCATAAGTGCTAATAATTAAAAGTTTGCTAATAATTAAAATCACTTTACCGAATTTAACTTCAGGATCAGACAAAAACTAATGTAAATCAAGTTTATTGGATTCCGAGTTGAATACAAATTAAAAGATTACGAACTAAAATCACTTTAAAATTATTTAATGTACAATAGCTACTGGATCACTTTATGAATTGAAAAATTATCTAAACAGCATCTATCCTATGGATTGTCACCTGAGTTTGAAATAACAAAAACTGGACATACAAGCAATTATGGCAACATATAACTTTCTGGAATGATCGTAGTCTCAAACTCATCATTGAAGGTGTTAAACATTTATAGTTATTCTTCGATGTGAATAATTCCCAAACAATATACAATTGATTGCCATTCCGTTTGAATTACTGAAGTAAAATAGCGTTTATCTTTGAATTTTGTCAATAAAACCATTATGCGTTAAAATCAGAAAATGGTTAAAGATATGTTTGTAACATTAAACCTAATTTTGAACTTAAGCTGAACATTTATTTTATATTCCTAGACTGTAGATGATTTGCCATCCAGCCGCTAATATCAAGTATCAATTGAATACAATAGGAGTAAAATAAAACTAAATATTTATACACTATATACTTTGCAGTTACAACTAAATCGTAGCTGCAATTACAACTAAATCATGGCTACTTGTGGGCTGTAAATACAAGTTTTAAATACGTATACAATTAAATACTTAGTAACTCGGCTTCTAATTACATGCGATTTCTAAACATCAGTATTCCCAAAACTCAGAAAACTCACCAGCCGAATAAACTAAGCAAATTGGTTGCAAGAGATATGACTGCTTGTCTGAGTTACCAAATTCTTCATACCCAATAAACGTTTTCGCTCTTTATTTAAAAACTCATCTACTTTATATGCCCGGTGACCGTGACGGAAAAGTTGAAATATATGACGGATTTAGCATAAAAAATTATTAATTAAAATAAATCTTACAAATTCTTCTCTGTTTTAAGAAGTTAACCTATCATATCATTTAAGATACAGTATTTCTTGGAATTTTTTTTATTCAGTGAAAAAGTGGACATGAAAAAATGATATTTTTAGTTACTGTGATCCATATATTGAATACGTTTCTACAATAACAATAGCAAATGAAGTTTTCATTGTTTGCAAATAGATTTTATACTTTTAACTTTGCATTCACTAGTAGTACTAGCGCAAAATCCGCAAAGCTACCATTTATAAAATATTATTATCCTAGATATAAATAAATAAAGCTTTTCAGAATAGATATATTACTGCTTCGTTTACACACAACGACCATAAAATCTAAGCTTTTTCTGACACTCAAGTACAGGTTCATCGACGCTAAAACTGCCTCAAGTATCCAGTATGAAGAATTAGAGGTTATCTCATGCAGTGTAATTCATAAATATAAACTCTTCACGTCTTTTTTATATTTGAAGGTGCGAAAAGAAAGTTGCCTGCACAATTTACCATGATGGATTCATTATAAATCCAAGCGACTGGCTTCCTGTGAGAGCAGAATGTGTTACGGACTGCGGTAATGGAAAAATTGCTTATGATTGGAATATATATGGAATCAATGATGTATTTGATGCTGTAGATCTGCAAGAATGGAAAGATTTTGTAGTGAGTGAGTATGTCTCTAAAATTTTACCAATTCTCAACTGGTGTACGAAATAAACTCATTTCTGAAAGTTTCACTTTGTATAAGTCATCTTCGATTTAGATCATTTAATATCTCATAATTATATTTTTAAATTAGGTAATCGCGTAGCTTTTAATAATGGCTTGACTTAAGATCAAAAACACGGCATTTACGTGATGGCAGAAAAATTTGCTTTCAGATGCAGATTACACTAAACCAGTTATATGATATTTTGAGGTTCCGGCATGTAGCCCCCTGTACTCCATTAACCAGTTACAGAACACGATTTTCCTAGATGAGCCATTAAGTAACACAGATGTTTTTGTGATCCGTTACATGATAATCTTAATATTCACAATCCAGAAACATTATCACATTGAAATAAAATTTCTTGTTCAAAGATTCTTTTCACAAGATATGATTAGCCACTCTAGTCTTCGAGAAAGTAAATTATTTGCCTTGTACAATAAGATTGTACTGATGCACTTAAGCTTCTCAAAAATCTCGTATTAAATTTTAATATTAATTAATCTTAGTTTATACATCACTTTAGTTTCTATGCATGAGCTTTGACTAAACATGTTGCAAATTGTAACGTTCTATTATGTTAATTAACCAGTTATTATGATTTAAACCTTTACTGTCACTTCTTTCCGTTTGCATGCCAGAATGCAAATTAGCTCGCGTGTATTTAAACTGAGGTTTTTGGATTGAAAGACAGAACTTCGTTTGCCTCTCGAGGCCACCTAGTGCTGCTAGCTCACAAGAATACTAGCCTTCGGCCTTGCGTTATAAGTGCCGATATTTGATTATCGAAGCCAGTTAGGTTTGTGGGCCAACTTTACATTAAATTGAATTGTGTACCCTTCGGTTTCTAGCTGCTTAAATTTAAATTTATATTTGATTGTTCATTTAAGTTGTCTTGTCGTAAGTGCTGACTGAGCTGAAAGTGCCATGTGTGCTTTCTGTTCTTCTTAGTTTTAAATAAAAGAATCCTTGATACCTTTCTCAAATTTCAGTTGTTATTTTAGACTTAGCGACTAATTCTCTGTCAGCCTATTTAAATTTTGGTGACAACTTATGATAGACAAGAGGATTACCAAACTGTATAATATTCTAAAACGTTTCTTAAAACACTGTTGCACAACTTTACGCACCTAAATATACATAATAATAAAAGGATTAGCTATTCATATTCTACAGAGAGGTAGTTAAAAATTGTAAAAGGTAACAAGATTTAACGATACAACACTGTTAGTGCTTTTCCAGATTTTACAAATGTAGTTCTGAAAATGTGGAATGTCGTCAAGCTGACTGACTCGCGATGAAAATATAATATGACAAATGGAGGGACATAAAAACGAAAGATAGGAACTTTGGTTTTCAGTACATAAATAATAATTTATAATAGAAGGAAATGAAAACTGCCATAAATTTAATCTTTGGAAAATTAGATCAAAACACAGAAATTATGGAAATTATTTTACTGTTGAAAGGTGCTTCAGAATGTAGTTATTTTTGCGTGATATAAATAGTACGAATTTTACGTGATAAAAAATAAGCTGACAGCAGATTGAACGTATGGCATAGATGAGGTTGAACAAAAAAGGAAAAAAGGGTAATTGTTTTACACCATTTGTAATAAGCGGAGTAACTCGAATTACATGTTTCAGCGATGCAAGACTGCCAGTATCCGAGGTTTTAAACTACTACCTACGGGCACAGCTAGTCAAAAAAGTATTGATACACAACAAGTTTTCAATGTTTTCCGAAAGAGTTTACGACTAAGAAAGAGGAAATTTTTTCAGGCATATTTTATTAGGAAAGACGTTTCAGGAATTCGCGTTGCTGGTCAACATGCCACCTCTTTCACCTCTCATATTGCCTCCTCATCACAAATGTCCCATTTAATTGCCACGTATTGTAAAGTAATTATTTATTTATAATATACCGCATTGAAAATTTTAAATGCTTTATTTGTTTGTTTTAGTATTTTTAATGCTTATATGGTAGTATTTTTGACTTTATCTTACGAACACCGCTCGGACATATGCGTAGAAAACCTAGTAACATTTTACGAACAAATGCATGGTACAAACGGTCTTTCAGAACGTAATTCGTTCATAAGGTAGGAGAGCGTCTGCATATTTCCATCACGAACATCTTTAGAAAAAGTAATAAGCTCTAATAAGTATCCACAGTTATTCTGGAAGTCCGTGTGGTATATGAGTTTATATAAAATCCTATTAATTGATAACTTCTGAAATTTAAAATTAAAAAATGCTAGTAAATTAAATAAAAAAACTTGATTTGAAATTTAATTCTTTTGTATACTTCTGACAATGATTTTTCATTTTTGAGCTTTGGCTAGTAATTTCTATGAAATCCGATATAAATAAAAAATAAAAATAAAATAAAATCTCAGGCCCAAATTACCTTAAAATCTGACGTGTTTGGAATCAGGAAAGATGCAGATTTCAGATTTCAGATTTTTCGGATTTTGAAACACGTGATATTATGGATCTCTAAAAGTTAGAAATCGCAGTCTTATCAACTTTTACAGCAAATGACCAAAAGTGAAATAAATATTGCTCAGTCCTCCTTACAGAAATTAGAACCAAAAATTTTCGCAGTATGCTTGCAAAACTAGGGATAAATGAAACTCGCTATTATCTCATTGTTCATTTTACATATTAAGAACTCTTTCGCTTTTGAATATATGGAAAGAATATTAAGGCATGTAATCTTGGGCATGTAACTGTAGTAAATGAGAATATATTTGAAATATATGTAATTATTTCTGATATTATTCGTAAATATTGATTTTTAAAAAAATTTCTTCCTTTCCGACCTATTAGGATGCTTGAGTCTTAGCTATGATTTTCAATCATTGGATTTTTTCTTTCTTGTATTAAAATGTATTTGTCACCAGCGAAACTAATAAGATTACTAAAAAGTACTGACCTTTGAAGAATTCCTTGCAAGTATATTTAAACAAAGCCATTTTTCTTTTAACTGTCATTTTCTTATAATAGACAACAGGCAATGCGTTCAACGGCTGCTCTTAATTAAATGATTATTAATTCCATTAAAAGTGCCTTATAGTTTTCACTGTTATAATGTATAAAAATTAATACTTTTCGTCAAACCGTATTTTTTTATTACAGTTGATGAAGACAGGCTTGGTATTAACAGAACATTTTTCCAACATTTCCATGATTTCAAGTATTTTCACGTACAAGTGACAGGCATAGATACAATAGAAGACAGGCCTAAAGGCGTCGCAAAGTTACATCTGAAAATCAACAATTCGCCTAAACCAGGCCTGTGCGTTTCACCTTTGATGACAGGACTGGCCATGATCGGAATCTTCAGAATTGAGTTTGTTAATTGGACGGATCCTGACAAACATACTTTGGTAGATTATAGTCTGTACAGTAAGTAATTGCAATACTTTTTGCGAAAGTTTAATACAGTAGTGTTTTCGGTAGTAATCCCGCAGTTATAACCACGCATTTTATGCACTCAGTTGGTTTCCAAATTCTTCATGACGGTATTCAAAAACGGTATGTTTTTAAAGAACGTTATGCAAAATTGTTATATACTTTGTGATAAAAATCACTTACTATCTTTCTAAATCTAGATAATTTTAAGTGCAATTATGAACACAACATCTAACGCAGTGTGAATTCTACATACGATAATGTATAGCAGTTAAAAAAATTTAACTAAAGAAAAAACTCTGATGTATACACCACATGATTTCCTTTTACGGAATATTAAATTACGGAATATTAAATTATACGCATATTTTTCCTGCATTTCATTTAAATTTATTTCCTCGAATTTCATTAGATATATACTTCTCATTGAGTTAATACATTTCTTACTTCGCGGCTAGGCAAAAATAGATAAAAACTCAAAATATCTTCAGTAAAATTGAAAGATATAGAAAAACATAAAACACCAAATACAGTTAAAGCAATTAAAAAAACAATTTTTGCAATCAAAATTACAGTTTCTACGAAAAAGAAGCAATTCGGCGTGCAAGAAGGCAAATTTTTTGGTGCACAAAACTGAAAGTTTGCTTTCCGTCCTACTCGTCCCCCCAAAAAAAAAACAGGGGGGGGGTTGCAGAAAGACTTAGTTCACTATTCTGCTATATAAGTTTGGAATGTAAACAAATTTGGCTGCTATGGTAAAGGAAATCAGGCTTAGCTGTACTTGAACAACTTTTAAATTGTTGACAATTCTATAAATATAGCATGCAGATTAATTAAGGCATACAAATCTTAATCGGAAGGTAAGAACAAATTGTTCAATCATTTTTAAAGCAAAAAATGTACAATTTAAAAACATATAAGAGTAAAGAAACTGAGATCACTGAGCCGGGTAACAGAGTGGATATATATATAAATATATTTATATACGTTTGGTGCGGCCGATTGCAACCAAAATACGAGGTGCACATCAACATGTTATAGCAGTCCTATATACAAAATTTCAACGTTCTGAGGATACTCGTTTTTGAGTTATGCGAGATACGTACATACTTTCGTACAGACGCCACGAAGAATTCTCTTCAGAATTAATTTTAGAGCAGTTTTATAATTTTTTTGGAGGAAACGAGTCTTTTATTCTGTCCTTACGTACAGATATCACGCAAAAACATCTTTAAATTGCATTCGATAGCGGTCAAAATGGATATTTTCGTTGAAATATGCTGCCTGAAACTTTTAGCGATTACAATACTTCCTTTTTACTTCGTACAAGGAAGTAAAAATGAGACAAGTCTCTCTGATACTTGGTAATTAAATTATAAATATTAGGCAGACTGTGCTAGTTTGAGAGAAGCAATTCTACAGCCCTAGCAAACCAAATTTTCGTCAAGTATGCCGAGAGCCAGATGCCGTCGCTAATTTTGAAAATATAGGGACTGAGACAGAAGCTATAAAATCCAGCCACAATTTCGGATGCTAGCCAGAAACTGTCTGTCGATAGTTTGATTTGTGTCTTTCGATAATTTCTCAGTAGATTCAGGAAAAATCCAGATCAAATGCCTAACGTCCAGCTGTTGAGGAATCAGCGGAAACGCTATTTATCTAAAATGCTATTAAGCTGGTTGGGACTGCATGTCATGTCGCAGAATTTGCTCCACCTTTCTCCCCCAGAAAGATTACATCCCAAAAAGATTTTTTTAAACTGGGTAGATTAATGCTGGTTGACATGTAATGCCACTAGCTGGATAGAATACGGTAGTCATGTTACTTAAATGGCCAGCACTTTCCAATCACAAAGCCTTCATTTTTCAACATGACGCCAGACCTCATACTGCTTTACCATACTGAAATGTAATGCCTGCTGATACTGATTTGGACGTTTTACCATACACAGAGTGCTCATACGGACTGTCATTTTTTCGATTATTAAAGAGTTCCTAAGCTCTTTATGATGTCTAAGACGTGAAAACTTCATTACAAATTTTTTTAACTATATATCAGAAGAATTTCATCAGCGAGGGTTTAATTATTGTGTACCTTGTCATCCATTTCTTCAATAAAAGCAGAAAACATTAAAACAAATGGCTATCTTAACCAATATAAAATAAAGTATCTAAAATAATGTAAAGACATTTTTGAATAAAAATAAAAATGAGATATCGAACTCTGACTAATTTACTTTATTTTATGTCTTTCGTTTCCTACGTTAATAAGAGCTCTGTCCCTTGCTGATCGATGAAGCCTTCTTAGCCCACTGAGTTTTCTCTGCTATGACAGGCTCATCGAAATTCGAAGTCCATGTCGATCGTTTGAGACACATGCCAGCAGTTTGAATGAAATACATTTCAGCTAACGTCTAGTTTAAATGTGCAAACAGTGTATGGCTGAGAATTTATCTCATCAGATAACGTTCCTTGTCAAATTGGGCTGCTTCTCGCACATTTAATTGTACAGCCCAATATACTGAATGAATATCGGCCACTTCCGCATTTATATAACCACTCATGCTACTACCTCTGCACTTTGATGGGTATAGTGATTAGCGATGCTGCTGCTGTATCTATGGGTGCAAGTTTGAATAATTGATGGAAGTTTGTAATTGTATAGCGTCTGTGCGCTATGGAACCACTCTAAACAGAAGAATGGGAGCCCACTTTCTCTGTTTATGCTTCCGGACCGAGTGTGAAGTTTCTCTGAATTCTCAGTCCAATGACATCTGATACGTAAGGAAAGCATTTTCAATTCTGCCTCACCCTAATATTCCGAGTCATCTAGGTGCGCTCTCTCTACCTACTGGGTTACGTACTGTGTATTGGTATTGTGACTGTATTACACAGGAATGATTATTTTAACAGCTATACCATTTCCTCAAAGGAGTAAAAATGTGTACATCAAATAATTTAATTGAGCTATGCAAACACTACGCATAACAGATACGAATCCTGAAAGGGAAAACCAAATAGGTATTTAAGCATGGTTTTATAATACTATATTGGTTATTGCTTCCCATTTTCGGATCTCTAACCTGTAAAAGAAAATATATCGGTAATCATAATTGTATAACCTTTTTTGAGGATTTTTACTAATATAAAACTTGATTAAATTTAACATTTTTTTACTACAAAATAGTGAATTACGAAGGGAAGAAGTTCCGTTTACACTATGGAGTGAAAACTTCCGTCGATTTTATATTACCCCCTGGCGAATGTGAGGTGATCTGCACTGTTCAAGATCAACTGGGAGCAGTTACTTCACTTACAGTAGGAAAGATTATGGTATCTAAATTATTTATCACTTTACATGATTGTTGTTATTAATTACAAATGTTTTACTTTTGATAAAACCATTACCCGTTTTCTTAACATAATTAATATTTTAAAAATTCGTACTATAATTTATATATATGTATTATATATGAGTAAAGGGAAAATGTAAGGGCATTGATTTAATGCACATATTCACATAAAATTTGCTATTGATATAAGTAGACTGTATTTAAAAATAATGATTTGCATGACTTGTAGAAAAATATACACAGAACCTTCTCTAAGGCGACTGCTTACGGTTCCATAAAATTTTGATTTTCTGTGGAAGTGATGTTCAGTACCAATATTTAGTAGTAATGTTCTCAGAGATAACCGCAACTTTCAAAGTTGGTCACCTTAGGCTAATGATTTCTAGGGAAGTCATTATATATTTTTTCGTTAAACTACGGGATGTTTTTAATTGTTTCCAAAATAGTGTACTTCTTAATTAGAATACTATGTACTTTTCTATCAGGGTTAACGGATTAAAATTTTGATTTCAATCAAGTAATAGTACTTGTTAAAAACCAATCAAACTTAAATACATTTTAATTCAAATTAAAGGAAAATTTTCTGGTGCTTGCTATTTTCTTCATATTCATCACAGTAAAAAATAGAATGTGCAAAATAAATCTTTTCAGATGTACAGTTCTTTTTTATTTTTTTTGAAATCATAGTGAAATTCTTGCTGATTTGTTCGAGAGCAGTAGTTCTATTTGGAATTTCAGTAAAAAATATATAGAATTTTTGGAACATTCTGATTTTTGCTGCCTAGGTTAACAAGAGAAGTTTCGAATACGGCAATACAGACTGTGATTATTAGACAACTGAAAGCACAACTGAAAACACAACTGAAAACACAATTTGAGAAAAGTATATTCCATGGTAGATTTCTAAGATAAGAAACTTATTTAGTTATACTATGCACATGTATTAAGTTGAAGAAGAAAACAAATCATGGGTTTTGTTACTTTTACAAAGACCAAACACGTTCATGTTTTGAAATATTCCGAGTGTCTCTCGGACGACCATGGCAGTTGCGCAGATGCGTGAGAGAAGATCTTTCCCACAATCCATGAGTGTATCGTACACCAGATCATTCATTTGTCCCCAGAAAAAAAAATTCAGTGAGGACAGATCCGGCGACTGTGCAGGCAGATGAATAAAACCACAGCGACCGATCGATTATTGTCCAAATATCGAATTTATATGCTCATGAACGTCGCGGCCGCACTCTTCTTCAGAAATCATTGAGCAAAGACAATCTTCTGTGTATAATTATAAGTCTGCGGTAACTGTACACGCTGATTATGGCATTAGTTTAATTGGTTTGTGGTTTGGAGAAGGACGAGAAGAGTAGTGATTGCTCGTGTACTAGCACGAGAACTATCTTCTGCATTATCTCTCTAGTTTCAGAAGTCTGTGCTGTTCGTCTCGATTTATTGTGCATCTCTCTGAGGAACTCGCTTCACATTATCACTGATGCAGGCTGGTCGTTTGATGATTTAGAGTACGCTTATCAGGTAGCGCTCTTGGTACGTTCTCCCAGCAGCTCGCCATGAGAAGTAGCAGTTCCATACTACCTGCAAACTCCACATATGTAAAATCTTTCATCCTAACTATCTCTGTGAGTGTTTACCGATTGACGGTTTGTTTGCGCTGACATATTACCAATTTTACAACAACTCCTTCTATTGCATTGCGATTGCGTTTCCAGCCCTGCATAACTATTTAGTCTCAAACCATCTTTGAGTAACCTACTCTTCCAGATTTTGTACACGTCTGAACCAATCACACTGTATATACAAACTTTAGATTTGGCGGATTATAAAAAAGTGCAATTTTCATTTCAGTGTCCTTAATAGAAAAAAGCCAAACTAATTTTCTTATCTTAGATAAATTTCCCAAATGGCCAAATCATTAAAATTTGTTTTCGTAAAAGTTAATCTGGTAAGCCTGTCAACAATATAGATTTTTGTCAGTGCAATCTCCTATAAAATCAGTCTATCTAAACAATCTGCTTCTATCTAAACAATCTGCTTTTTTGGGTGTATTTATTTGTAGTCAATGATTAGTATTTTGCACATAAAGTTATGCAACTGACATGTATGAAGCATTCAAAATAGTGCAGTGAAAGTGATGAGTGCTGGAAATCTTCTGTTCTCCAAAAGACATGGAGAATTAGTTAAAAAGATTGTATGTCTGTACATTTTTTTGCAGCACAAATTTAAAGCCGTTAGCATAATTGCTTAAATATTACAAGAATTGCACACTAGCCTGAACACTGCAGAATTTAACCATTGTTTTTCTTTGACCTCCGGCAACTCACAAAATAGTCCTCTTCTACGAAAGAAAAAATCGTGTATGGGCCTCTGAAAACATCCTAAGCCCTTTTTATCATTTTAAACCATGTTTAAAATGAGGTTGAACGTAGGTAAGTTTTTAATAAAACGCGCATTATTTCGATTTCCTTAGTTACGAATGAATTCAATGATAAATTCTGCAGCTGTTATATTCTTTTCACTTGCTAAGCTTGTAGAGACATTAAGTATGTTTTGGAAGCAGGAGAAGTGAAAAATGAGCAACGCCGTCGCGGGGAATCGAACCACGGACCTCTGAAATACTCGCCCAGAATGCAAATCATCACGCTAAAGGCATGCTAACAAGGCGGGAGAAATACCTTATATGCTTCACACTTTTTAAAGGGAAACTGGGGCTTTAGGGGACTCAGTTGCAAAATCCTGGGTGTGGAGAATCATTATCCACCATTCTTTTAGTTCGAGCCCCACTGTAGAGACATTAGATTATTTCGGAGCCGGAGTGATGAAAAACGAGGAAAGCCCGCGCCGGGAATCTAATCGCGGACCTTTGGAATACGCGCCTAGCGTGCAGACTACCACACCACGAAGGCATGACAAGAAGGCGGGAGAAATATCTTATAAGCTATTCAGTTTTTTTTTATAATAGCTGATAGAATAGAATAGCTTTCTAATAGCTGACTTCATTTAATCATACAATTTTCTTTCTTTAAAATAAAGACCTTGAATATATTACATTAGTTCTTTATATTAATTCTTTTAAACTATCTGTACAAACCACCTGGCTTACATTAATTCTTTATATTAATTCTTTTAAACTAACTGTACAAACCACCTGGCAGTCCGAAACAAGTTCAGTTCACTGTCATAGATGTATCAGGAAAGTAATAAGAATTGCTATCTGAAAAATTTACGTTGTCAACAGAGTGGACATTTCAGCAAAGGAGACATAACCTTCATCAGCCATCAGTGCACGTTTGAATTCTCAAACATTGCTATGCGTCTGACTGCAGTAATTTATATTAGTGTCTGTATAAAATTTTAAACAAAGTTGCGAGATCAAAATTATGGTGATTGGTGAAACTTCGCTGATGCACAAGGGTGTAATTCAAGTATACGGAAGTACCCACTTCTGCTGAAAACAATATTTTTATTATTAAGAGCATTTTAGTAGTTCCACAATCTCACTTCATCGTCTCTGATTTCTTTTATCTCTCTGAAGCATATATTTCCCTGAAGGACCATCATTATGGTAGTATTGATTATAGTGAATCGAAGAACCATTGTTAGTGCTGTAATCTTCTGTGGATCTTGGGAGTAAGAAAGTTGTGACTAATTCTAAGACTGGATGTCTTCAAATACTAATATAAATATTGGAAGGCAGAAGTTGCCATTCGTTTCTAACGGAACTATTTTATATGATTCGCTTCCAACGGAATTATTTTATATGATTCGCTTCCAAGGAACTATTTTATATAGATTATTATGGAATTGTTAAGTCTCTTCCCAACACTGAAGTTTCAGGAAACAGTCTGATTACTTTTTTTGCTATACTTCGTATCAGTAAAATGCGTATTAAAAATTTCTTCTAAATTCGAGGAACTTAAATCGATTCAGAAATTTAACACGCCGTATGAAAACATCAAATTATTCATTGACATGAGATATCTCACTTGAACAGATTATTATTGGAAACTAGAAAATTTTTTTCAATAAAACATTCCTAATCTTAAGCGCTGTTATTGACATAGTATAAAAGTCTGGTAAGCATAATATTCAGGTTTTATTTTCATAGGCCATTATGCCAACAAGGGAGATGAAAGAAATATGGGAATCTACAATAAACATGAGATTTTTCGTAATTCAAGGGAAGATGTCTCTTTTATCTCAAGCCATGTCAGCAGAAGCTATTGTGGATGAAAAAGATCGTGAAGAAGATTATGAATCAGGTAGGATATATAATTAAAAATAAAACTGTGTTGTGTCGGTAATTTAGATGATAATGAATGCATATATATAACCCAACACATTCAACCAAAACTACATGTTTTCCCCATTTTATTTTATAGCTATGAATTTCAAATTCCTTAGTAAAATAGGCCAACATATAATATAGCGATACTGCGCAGTATTAACCCAGGAACATATAACTGCAATTAGAGATAACAAACTCTTAGAAAAATTATGAATCTGACACACATGCAGTTTTCAATAAAATTATATAAATATACAGCAAACGCTATTAAAAGAATGTTAAAAAATATTATTAATAATATATTAAATATTTACAAAGCTGACCAAATATTCAACCAAGAAAGGCCCCCAAAATGCAATAAAATAAACTAGTTAGAAAAATCAAGAATAACTTTTCAGAATGAATTTTTAAAAAATTCTCCTTCTTTTCCAAATGATTTTAGTCACCAAAATAGTTCGAGATGTTAATTTAAATTTTTTTAGTGACAAAAAATTTAAAACTTTTCAACAAATAAATAATGCAGTGCTGGAATATAGCTTTGAAACTTTTTATAAATAAATAATATTGATTTTGGGATGCAACAGTTTTTTAGAAAAAACATTGTTTTCAGGAAATGTTAAATCACATTAAATACGAGTATTATAACAAGCTTTAATTATAGTTATAATAACATACAGAAAATCAGTAATAAATTAATACTACGTTGTTAACATAGTAAT